CCTGAAGTTTTCTTTCCTTGTTGTGTCTCTGCCAGGTTTTGGTATGAGCATATTGTTGGCCTCATAGAATGAGTTAGAAATATTTTTTTGATATAGTTTCAGCTGGAATATTACCAACCCTTCTTTGTACATCTGGTAGAAATCAGCTGTGAATCCATCTGGTCATGGGCGTTTTTTGGTTGTAGTCTATTTATTACTAACTCAATTTCATAGTTCTTTATTGGTCTGTTCAGGGATTCAATTTCTTCCTGCTTTAGTCTTGGGAAGGTAAATGTGTCTAGGAAGTAATACATTTCTTTGAGATTTTCCATTTTATGAGCATAGTGGTTGTTGTTTATAATATTATCTGATGGTTATTTTTATTCTGTGGCATCTGTGATAATATCTCTCTTGTCATTTCTGACTATGTTTATTTGAATCTTCTCTCTTTTCTTCTTTATTAGTCTAGCTAGTGATGTATTTTATTAATTAAAAAAAAAACCCAGCTCCTGGATTCGTTGATCTTTTTAATGCTTTTTTGTGTCTCAATCTCCTTCAGTTCAACCTCTGGTTTTGGTTATTTCTTGTCTTCTGCTAGCATTGGGATTTGTTTGGCCTTGGTTCTCTAGTACTTTTAGTTGTGATGCTAGGTTGTTAACTTGAGATCTTTCTAAATTTTGATGTGTGCATTTAGGGCTATAAATTTTCTGCTTAACACTGTCTTAAATGTGTCCTAGAAATTCTGCCATGTTGTATGCTTCCTCTCATTAGTTTCAAATAACTCCTTGATTTCTGCCTTAATTTCATTATTTACCCAAAAGTAACTCCGAAGAAGATTATTCAATTTCCATGTAATTGTAAGGTTTTGAATGAATTTCTTAGTCTTAATTTCTAATTTGATTGTGCCATTGTTCAAGAGATTGTTTGTTATGATTTCAGTTAATTTGTATTTACTGAGGAGTGCTTTACTTTGAATTATGTGATCAGTTTTAGAGTATGTCCTATGTGGCAATGAGAAGAATGTATATGAGATTGTTTTTGGATGGAGAGTTCTGTAGTGAACAATAAAGAAACAAAGTCAAATGCCGTGTGTTTTCCACTTATAAATGGGACTAAATAATGTATACACATGGACACAGAGTGGAATAACAGACATTGGAGACTTGGAAGGGTGAGAGAGTGGGAGGGAGGTAAGGGATGAGAAATTACTTAATGGATACAATGTACATTATTTGGGTGATGTTTACACTAAAAGCCCAGATTTCGTCACTATGCAGTATATCCATGTAACAAAACTGCACCTGTACCTCTTGAATTTATACAAATTTTAAAAAGAAAATGTATTGTTTTTCCTTAAATATTTGGTGGAATTCAGCATTTTTCTTCTTGGAAAGTTTATAACTATGAATTCAATCTCTTCTATTTATATAAGGTTATTAAGTTTATCTATTTCTTCTTGGGCGAGTTGTGGTAGTTCGTCTATTTCTCACTATGAATTGGTTCATTTCCTAGTGAAAATGGAATTGGTCCTTTTCATCTAAGTTGTAGAATGTATGTACATAAAATTGTTTATAAGATACTCCATTATCATTTTAATATCTGTGGAGTCCTTTCATTCATGATTTGGTTATATGTATTTTCTCTCTTTTTTGGTCTATCTTGCCAGAGGATTATCAATTTTACTAATTTTTTTCAAAGAACCGTCTTTTGGTTTGATTTACTTTCTCTATCACTTGTCTCAATCTCAATTATTTCAGTTCTTATTTTTATTACTTCCTTTCTTCTTGCTTGCTTAGAGTACTTTTGTACATATATTCTAAATTAATGAATTACATTTAAGTTACTCTTTACAATTTTTGTCCATTACAAAACAGACACCTAGAAGAGATATCACAGGAGTTTACCTTCAACTAAAGTCTTCCATCACAGCCAAGCATTTTAAATTATAAATGACTGCCTTTGCCTTTCACTCAAACTTCATTCTACCTTTTCCTTTTCGGTAAATTGATTGAGCCTTTTCTGTGACTATGCCATTGGTCATTTCCCTACCCCTGTTTGTTTTCCCTTTTCACAAGTAAGGCCTTCTTATATGATATGCTCTGCTACAGACATATTTCTATCTGCCAAATCATGACAAGCCCTTTCTTCCTTTACCTCAAGGCAGACCTAGAGCATAATGTTAAGAATTTCCATTTGTTGTTCAGCTACTAGGTACTACACACCATGCTAAACACTTCACATGCATTTTATCTAGTGGACACACCAAATTCTTTGTTAGGGGCTATTGTCCATTTCATTGAAAAGCAACAGAAGGTCAGGAAAGTAACATAGTTTGTTACGCCATAGAGCTAGTACATGGTAGACCAGAATGTAAATCCAGGTCTATCTGACTGCAAAACTGCATTAATTAACACTACAGTGTACAGCTTTCTGGTATACTCTAATAGTATCCTCTTTTATTTTTATTGCCAGAATACCTTATATAGCTATAATTAATGTACTACACTATAGTTCACACCCATTTTTACTTCTCCATATATGTAGAACATGTTGACTCTTATCCAGGGTCCTAGCTCACTTCTACTTGCATGCACACTTCTAGTAAACTATTCTTGAGCTGCTTACAATTTCTTACCTAATAGGAAGTCTATCTTTCTGCCACTACTATCGTCCTCTTTTGTCGAAATCTGCCTCCATTATATTGATATAGTTCAGGGATATCCAAACCTTAGTGTACATCAGAATCACCAGGAGAGCTTTTTAAAACAGATCATTGGTCCCCACCCTCAGAATTTCTTACACAGTAGGTCTGGGGTGGGGCCTGAGAATTTGCAATTCTAAAAATTTTCCCGATGAGATTCATGGATCTCACTTGAGTATCACTAGTATAGTAACGTGGCTGATCAAATGGTCTTTGGTATGTTTTTATTATAGAAGTAGAATTACAAACTAGATATGAATTCTTACTATATGAGTCTAGTCAAAAGCATGCAGAAGAAAAAAATCAGAAAAACACAAAATATGACACACAAAATCTATTTTATCACCAACAAAACTTGAAAAACACTGCATACCATTGATCCATTTAGAAGATCATGGTGCACATCGGCTTAGGAAAGGATAGAAGTATTATAGCAATAAAGCTATTCTCAAATTGTATTTAACCAAGTATTTCCAAATATTTCTTAAACTCATTTGATCACAAACATTTTTTTCCAGGTATAGGATCCTGTAGAACTAGTGTTATTCAGGACACGCTTTGAGAAATGCTGCTTTAAAGTAATCTTTTTTTACAGGAGAGGTCAGTTAACCCTGGGGATTTTCCAGGATCATAGAGGCTTGGTTCCACTGCATTCAAATCATACTGAGGATTTATTTACTCCGTCTAGAATCCAGATACAATTTTATCTACTATGGTTGTTGGAACACAGAGATCAATTAGTTCAGAACAAAACTGTGCCACTGGTAAAATTGACTTTAAGGGCAGATATTCAGAGGCCATGAAGCAGGGATACCAAAAGTCTTTCGGGGATCACCTATCTCTACTCTTGGTGCATGTATCATCAGATAATTTACAGTCTGATATAGAATTTTGACTTGCATTGATGTCAGACTTAATTACTTACTTTGTAAACTCTGCCATTCATTTTTTCCAAATCAAGAGAGATATTTTTTCATATATTATATTCCAAAACATACCCCAGGTATGTGAGGGTTATTTCCCTACCCAACTAATAAATGATCTAGCTGTAAAATAGAACAATTTGAGAATTTATCTAGCTGTATAATATACCAGATAAGAACTTAGACTCTAATATGAATCTCCATATGTTAAAATGCCAGGCCCACCATTTACAGGTTATTTAACTTTGGAAAGTTTTCAAACTCTCCATGTCTGTGCCTCGGTTTCTCACCTATAAACCCTCATAAAGTCACTTCAATGGTGAAATAATTATAACCCACATAAAACCCCTTGAACAGTACCTGACACATAGTAAATAGTAAATCATAACACTTTGTTCACTAGGCAGAAAAAGAAAAAAAAAAAAAAAAAAAAAACGCTGCTAGCCCCCTGCATGACATTCTCTTTCTCTCTAGAATGGTGGTGGTATGCTAGGTCCTATTGCACATATACACATTAGGAAGATACTTTTCACTAAAGTCACTTTCAATGAGTATTCTGGATTTAAGTGGTGCTGAAGTATATTGCATAGTAAAATCTGAGGGTAAGTAGGCATTATGATCAAAATTTCAAGTAGTAATAAATGTAAGTTGTAAACACATTTAAATCTCATTGTGTCAGTTAAGTCACCTCTCAGGACTTGCAGCTTCCTTACTAACTAGATATTAAAAAGTCAGTCAAACTCAGTGTTTCCTAGGGCACATATAAGGGCAGGAGAAATTCCTTTGCATAAAAGAAAAACAACAGATGTGAATGCCAAAATGCAAAGCATTTGTGGAATCTTTAGGTTTTTCTTGGCCATCCACCTTCCTATACAGCAATTCAATCATTTAGACAGATTTCCTTCAATGTATGATAGAAAAGAATACAAGGCTTTGAGTAAGATAAAGAAGTCTATATATTAGACAAAGTTACTGGAAAGAGATCCCTTAGTAATCTTCCTTAACTGCAAGTATCAGATGGGTTTTGCAAAAAATGCAAATTTATCCGTGAAAATTGGGGTATTCCTAGACTAATACTCATTATTTTGGTATGGGAATTTGGAGTGATAATACTTATGCTGGTAACTACCTTTGCTAAACTTAAGAACCATAAAAAAGACACTTTCATATAACATTTGTGACTTTTTTTCTCTAGCAAGTTTTTTGCATCTTCATATCTTTGTGAAGTTTTAAGCCCATGTGCTTGGAAGCTCTGGCTTCATCTCTGACATTCTGCATTTCTGCTTTTCTGACTCCTTTACCTACTGGGCAGCCTTGTAGCTATCTCCGTGGCAAGGCAGGGCCTCTCCTGGCATGTAAACCTGCTAGGTGAATCCGCCCCTCAAGGGCGTGTCAGTACCATTTCCTGGAGCAATGTCACAGGGTGGCTCCATTTTCCATTTGAGCTCAAATATTTTGCTGCTTCATCTGCAGCTGCCAGACCTGCTCTTGCTGGGGCTCAGGTAGCTTTCTTCTCTTCCCGGCACCCCTATTGGCAGAGGTTTTTGATAAGTGGTTTCTACACGTGTGTCGTGTGTCTGTATGTCTGCCTGCCTGCCTGCTTGCCTGCCTTTTTTTTCCATTATATTTCTCTGTTTGTTCCTTAGGTAGAGCATCTGGGAGGTCCCTTGCTGACCACTGGAAGAAGATGAGCTCGAGCTATTGGAGTGAGACGAGCAGCAGCAGCTGTGGAACCCAGCAGCTTCCAGAGGTGCTGCAGTGCCAGCCCCAGCATTACCACTGCTACCATCAGTCAAGCCAAGTCCATCAGCTTCCAGAAAAAAATGTAGTGTATGAGCGAGTGAGGACCTACAGTGGGCCCATGAACAAGGTGGTGCAGGCCTTGGACCCCTTCAACTCCCGGGAAGTGCTCTCCCCTCTCAAAACCACCTCCTCCTACCAAAATTTGGTTTGGAGTGACCATTCTCAGGTACGACAAAGACAGTTACGCCAGGCTAGTGGAGAAGAGCAATCTTCAACCTGATTTCTCTTCCTTTCTGCTTCTTTGCGTCTATTCTACAGGATATCTTTTGGTGGATTGCAGTTATATATGCCTTGGACAGTCACCCAAATTCATCTCTTGGCTGTTATTTCACTTACTAGTGTCTGTGGTTGTTTGTTTCCGGGTTTCAATTATTTTCATAATCTAACCATAATACAGGAAGGCTCATTTTCTGTTTGATCTGACTGAAAGATCTGATCCAAGGAACACCTTTGCCCCTACTGCAAAGCAGTTCTCAACTTGAGTACAGTAGATTTTTTATTAGAACAAGTTCCTACTGATTCACTTCATATCAGAAGCAAACAGGATTTTTGGTATCAAATATGGTGATACAGGTACTGTGGTATGTCTGAGTGATAAGCAATTATTTGTGCTCAGCAAAGAGTATAGCTGCTACAGGATAAGTAAGAGGTGCAGATGTCTGAATTGTCATATGTGTTTCATCTTCCAAGAATGACACACTTTTTATTGTACAGCCTAGATAAATAATTTACGGAATACTTGTAGAAAGATTACTGAAAGAGTGGATATAGGATTGAGGAAGGCAAGATGTAAGCAAATGTTACATGAAAGCAACAAAAGATGGAACTCTAAGACATCCCATAAAATGAAATACGTTGTTTCTTAAGAGTTATTCTTAGCACCAATACCTGTGTTAATAACCTTCCCAATAAATGCAAGGTAATACTGCAAGACTACGTAAAATTAGCAGCCTTATGTGTATTTTCATCCTCTGACACCTTTTACATTAAATTTGCATGTTTTAAGTTTTCTGGAAAATTCTGTCCAAACTGAAATTATGTTTTTAAGATACAAAAATCTCAAAAAGCAGTCATTGGGATATGATGCTATGTTACATTATTATTACCAATCAGGAATAATACATATTATCTTTCCAAAACCCAAAAATTTAAGTAGAATATAAAGTAACATTTCTCAACTGGTTGAGAAAAACTCCACTTATACTGAGGTCAAGGAGAAGAAAAATATAAAGGTCAAAAATACTACTTTGCATGAGTGATAAAAATAATGCAAATGTACATTCCAATATTCATATTGAGATGCTAATGCAGAACAAAATGAATGCCACCTTTGTTTTACTGTCACTCAAAAACAATAATGTGAAGGTTAAAAACAATTACTATTATCATAGGAATGCTAAAATCATCCTATCTGCCATAGTTATTTAAACATATTTAGACCCTTTTTTTGTCAACTTGCTAGTAAAAGAAAGGTAAATAGACATTTAAAAACTGAAATTTGACAAATTATAAATATTGACTACAGAACAATTTTTAGGAGTATGTTTTATTATTTACTCCTTGGTTCAACTTCCTCTTTCAATAACTCAGGATCAAGTTGGCTGAGCTTTTTACAAGATTTTCCTTATTTTACCTGGCATTTGCCAAAGTGATCCTTAAAAATGGACTATCTCCATCCTAAAATGTAGCTCACCTAGAGGAGTTTATAAAGAACCTAGGGGTAGAAAGTGCAGCTGCAGAAACTGGGATAAAGATCAGAATGGAGAGCTTTGTGAAGTCTGGAGTTATTTGTGATTGAAAAGAAAGAAAAGTAAGTGCTGTTAGAAAATGAGAAAGGTGAAAGTTAAGCTATGCGGTAAAGGGAAAAAAAGAAGTATTAATTCCTTAGTGAAACAAGGAGAAAGAATATTTGACTATAAATTTTCAAACTGAATTGGATATCAAAGGGCATTCACAAATCCAATAAAAGAGAATTTGGCAAGACAGCTTTTAGATAGCTGCCACAAAGAATATGACTAGGAAACTGTTCTGTTTTATTTTCCTTTCTCCCTGTTTGTTGATGGAATGGCACTGTGGCATCGTGTAAAGTAGGACTTAGATTTGATCTGAAATTACCTTTATGCTAACGAAATGAGTATAATGTGATGGTATGCATAATGTACCATGACAGGCATAAGCAAGCAGTACTTATTACTCAAAAACCTTTAATTCACTTTATGTTTAAACAGAGTCTATCCTTAATAAACCATGTTTCAGATGAGTTGATGTGTAGCAATTAGTCTAATACCAGAGTTGGTGACCATGGCAGCTAGAAAAATGGATACTACAATCAATGGTTGATCATCACGAATTCAGTTAAACTTTTACTTTGTTTCTGTTTTGTTTTTTTTTTTGCCTTTTGGTTCTTGGATGACATTCAGGGAATTCATGAGATTTTAAAAGAAATATTACCAGTAGTAAAATATGTTGCCTTTGAAAAACCAAAATTGATGCTACTCTGCTTTGCTTCCTGAATCATAATTTTAGGTCATGTAGTAGGCATTTTCGATTTAATCAAATGCTTTTTGTAGCACTTTAGTAGTTTCCATTTCTAGCTTTTGAGTACACGCTTTTCTTCTCTTAACCTCTTGTGCACTAAAATGGTGTTTATGGATATAAACATATTTTAAGTTTCTCCAGACATATAATATTACTTTGTTTCTTTAATTAAACATATTTTATGTTTTTTGGTTATTATTTTGTTTGATTGATAGGGTGTTTCTCAGAGAAAATTAAATGTAGAAACCAGTTGCTGGCGAAATTTTCTAAATTAATGGTAGAATTAAAATTACTGAGTTTATCTACATGAACAGATATAGTCAAACACAGGTATAATCAAAATCTCAGATGTATTTTAGACTGAATGTGGTCTTGCAAATAAATAGAGTTCTAGAAGCTTAAAGTGAAACAACAATTCTTAGTTCAATCTTTTAAAAAGCTTAGCTGTTAACCTACCATCATTAACTCAAAATGAAATGCCTTAAATGAGCAACATTGATATGAATTACTCATTGGGCTTACATTCTTTCCTTCCACTAATTAAGGTTTTCATGAAGTTCAAGATATTTTTCACGTATACAGAGCAGCTCTGTTGTGAGAGAGAAAAAATTGATTAAAATATTTTTAAATACCAGTCATTCACTGAATACATGTTTATTAAGTGCCTATTTTTTTAGCGAACACTGTGATTTTCTGGATAAATATCACTGACCTGTCCAGGGAGAGTTCATTTTTAGGACAGACATACAAAGCCTGGTCTGTAGGTATCCCATGTGTCTATCTATATTTCGTTTTAAAGGATTATTTTGTGTTGTGACCATCACTATTTTATCAAGTAAAACATGCTTTTGTGAGAGAAGGATTATTTTAGTGTATATATTATAAGGGTTGCCATTCTTTTGAATTTGAAACTTGCAAACAAACTCTAGAGAGCAGCCTGGGGGAAAATATGTGTTTATGAATGACCTTTGTTCTCAACAATTATTCAGTTGGGGCTTACCTTTGTTTATATGGTTTTTTTGTGTGCTTTTTCTTTTGTTGCAAAGATTGTGGATAACTCTTCTACTCTTCCAGGATTTCTATACACTATCAGAAAAGTTTCCTGTTCTGTGGGGAGCGGTGTGCTGCTTTGATAAATTGTTGTTCAAGGGCGTAGTCACTAAAGGGAATGATTGTTCAGGGAAGTAAGTTGCCTGAAAAAAGAATGAGGTCATAGGATAAAGGGGCTGAATTTTCAGCTTTGGTCACCTCTTTTGTGCTTACAATTAAATGAAGCTATAGAAATTGGAGAGTGCAACTAATTGCTGAGTGAAAATGCCCATGGCAATTGTATCTTGTTTAAGGGAGGTCTGATAAATTGCTGGGCCTGTTTTCAGTCAAAGGCACTTATAAGCTGTCACGGTGTGTGTGTGGCAAGATATGGGGGTGGCAAGTGGAAGAGAGGGAAACTGTCCTTTCAAGTTTCTTTTCTTGACAATTCATGACAAAACAATTGGGGAATTTGCTATGCTCTTAAGCCCTATTTAAAAGTTAAAACTTTTACAAGTAAATGTATTTCAGCCAACATTTTCTTCACACCAGGAGTTATCCCAGTAGAGATCCTTTTTTGATTTTGAATAAAGTATACATACTCATAATTTTTAAAGACAGAAAGCATGCACTGCAAAAAGACTGTATATTTTATTTTCTCTCTGTCTTCTAGTTTTCTTCAGAAAAGGAAGAGAAAGAACCCAGTATGGACCTCTTAAATGAGGGATTTGGGTTGGAGAGAAGGAGAAGCAGGAAGTAGTTCTATTATACATTCGGTTGCTTTCTTTGTATGACAACAGAAGCACAGATTTTATCCTAAATAAAAGAAGTGTTTATTTCATCTAAAGATAGATTATTATAAATAACATGTTTCTTGCTGTATAAGTTCAGTATAACATCTCAACAATAACCTCAGACAGGTGTTTAACTATGTTACATGGCTTTGAAAGATTCTAACAAAAACATCTCCCATACTATTCAGGGAATGTATTCAAATGGATGTTTGCCTTGGCAAATTCTGTCAGCATGAATGTCAGGTGGTTTTTAAAGATACTGCTTCCTTTGAAACTGTTCAGCCTAGAGTGTTTGTAACTCACTATTATTACCTTCAGTGATTCTCATAGTCATTGGGAATAACAGGAGCATACACAAGCCTTCCATGGTTTTCCTTTGTGGAATATTATACTGTATATTAGTCTTTACGTAAAGTTTTAAAATTCAAATTAGACAACGTAAAAGATTACACTTTCATGTTAACAAATTTCCAAATATTTAGAAACAAAGCCTGCACTACTTATGTAATATTCTCTATGATCTAATTATCATTGCCCTCAGTCTCTCTTGTATGTCTTACACCAGGCTTTTGAGCTCTTTGACCAGAGCTATCAACAGGAAAATGAAACCAACAGGTCTTGACTGAAGAGATTCAGACGTTGCAGTCTAAAGACTAATTGCAGAGAAAATTGTATGAAGAAAATGCCCAAACAGGTTTATGTGGAATGTCTCAGGAAGAGCTGTAAATAAATATGCAATGATGAAGTGGACTTTGGCAGAATAGAACTACGAAGCAGTCTAGTTGGAGTCCCTAGGAATGTACGC